ATTTACTTGAATATATTTGTATAAAATGTCACACAGAATTGTTTCTGCACATTTTGCTAGTTCATTTTTTAGGTTTAAGCTTGGAGCAACTTTATTAAATGTATGTGGAAAAGCAAATGAATGAAACGTGTCCTTTGTTGAAAGTCCAACACAGGGATACGTGACAAAGTTTATCCCACATGCAATATCAGCAGCTTCTCTGCAAGGGCAAGCAGATGGATGTCCTAGACCTAGAGCAAGGCCTTGAGCATAACTAGTCACTTCAACTAAGTTTTGACTCGTGTCTGCAAGACTTGTGCATATATTTTTTGCATTACTGTCAAAATATAACCATGAGCATCAGTGTCTGCTGGTTTCAACATTGCGCGATACATTGGATGGTAACAACCGCATTTATAATATGTTGATATGTACAGAATACGTTATTTAATTTTTAATAAAATAATGAGCAATATACAAGAAAATAAAAAAATGGAAAATTCTGGGAAAAAATATTAGTTATGCAATATTAACAGCTATAATAAATAACAAAGATTAACTTTAAGTGCTTGGTAAATGGTCTTGCACTATGCACATCTGCCCATTCACATGATCATGGAAGACCTTGAATTGGAAAGAATGTGCTGTACTTCCCCAGTCCAACTTATCAGTACCCAAGGTCTATAATAATGAAGTCTTGCAATCTGCCAAGAGTTTGTGTAAAAGCAAGTCTTGAGTTAATCATTACTATTAGGAGGTTTTTCAAAAGAATAATGTCTTACAATGTAATATATACAAAATAGCGTATGTACATTCACATAAATTATGTGGAATGTACATAGCAATAGCTCAAAGCAACATTGAGTGCTTTCTCACACAATGAAAATCCCCCATTTAAGAATATGCCCTTTTAGTTTGTATATCCTTATTATTTAATTTATGATATGAATAGATGCAAAAATAAATAATATGTTCATTGTATAATAAATCAAACTAGAAACATTTACAGAGCTAAGAAAGGTTGTAATGGTCTTGTGCCCTTCAGATCTGCAACATCTTCTTGCACATTTTACATTTTTACATTGCCCTGTTTGTCTATGTCAGTAACCTACAAGTGGTATTGATCTTTAAAAAGGAGCACAGTCAAGTAGTCAATATGTGTTATTGTCAGGGGTTTGGCTCCCTCTACAGGCAAAACGGAGGCAAATACATTTCCACAAAGCATATCAATTGCATGGGAAGATTACAGGTTTACAGGCTTTAGTGACTACAATGATGCAATCATGCAAGGACTATACATGTCTATATATTTATTGTATATATATACTAATAGAAATACAAACAGTTTTCCATTATTATTCAAAACAAGAAAGAGCAAGAACGATGCACACTAAACTCTCTCTCTCTCTCTCTCTCTCTCTCTCTCTGCATTTTACATTGCTTACAAAGTTTTTACATTTTTTTTTTACTGGTTTAGGGTCGAGTTTTGTCATTTTGGAAAGTGTTTGATCTTGAGATTACAAAGACTTTCTGTGCTTTTGTCGTTTTGTGAATAAACTATTATTTTTAAAAATAGGCCTACTTAAACAACTTAAATATAAAATTGTCAAAATAAGAGATTTAGAATGGCTCATTGTGTATATTGCATAGTTCTAAATATAATGTTTTAATAATGTATGGTGTATCGTTTTGTCATGTACAATTTTTAAAGTCTCACCAAAAAGGTGACAAAATAATGGCAATTTAAAATCATCATTTGGTTTGCTATTAATTTGAGTGTTTCTATGAAGGGATTAAGAATAAACTTTCTGGACTCTGTGGAAAGTGTCAAAATGACCGCGTGAATGAAGGCATTACGAACTCGATTATCTGGCACGGACGCACACGCGCTTACAAGCAAATAGAAAGCGAATCGTTTTAGTCTGTGCTGCCATAATATTATTGTACATTTACTCGTGTAGAACTTAGGTTACTAAATCCATCATATTGTTTTTTCTCTGTTTTAAGAATCAACCGAAATGTCAATACGTTAATGCAACGTGTTGGGCAGCAGTTTCAATGGAGACATTCAGTTGGTCCCCGGTGACCACTCCCATCTTTTAGGTACCGCTCATTTTACCCGCTGATTGGTCTTTGGATACACCCACTACCGCGTTTAAGCCCGATAGCACCGCCTCTCCTCCGACATTTCGCGCGATGTCATTGGATACGCCCGGTCTAAATTTGCATACGTGGCCGGATTGGTCAAGATGAACGTCCGTCATTAGGCATCTGTACTCGCAGCAGTTCACATAGAGCGTGCTGGTGTGTCATCGTGGTGCAGAAAGGCAGTGATACGCGGTGAGTAATGCCTGCCTTGTTGCTTGATGTCAGGATTGCTATAGAGAGAATGAAGGCGGACGAGGATTCCCTCTGACTGTAGCATCCTACATTCATTGACTAAAGTCTGCCCATTGTCAACATGGCAGAGCAATGGACCGCAGTGCCCACTTCTAATATGGCGGCGCTGAACCGGGCTAGATCATTGACTGTTATATTCTTAATTGTCAGCAGTTGTCTGATCAGTAGCATTGATTGTAAAGACGCGCCATAAGAGACTGTCATCATTGGC